TGTGAAGATGGAACCGGTCGATGATCTTACCCAGGTAACGAATGAAGCAAACTGTGTCACGGCTCCATTACCTTTAACCTTCGAGCAACTCGACCAACCTTTCGGTTTTGTGCTCTATACCAAGGTAAGAAGATAAGCATTTGAATTTTTTCTCAATTTTCCAAGGTTTTTTGAATTTTAGAAATTGAATACCTGCGGTAAGAAGCTCGAAATAAAGCAGTTCAAAGATTTTGCATATGTCACCCTCAACAAAAACCGTGTGGTAAGCAAAAATTTCCAAAAGTGCCGAATTTTATGAAATTTTCTATAGGGTACCTTGGTAAACTCGTACAATGGTAAATCGGTACACTCTTTGAACTTACATGGCTGCAAACAAGGAGATGAACTTGGCATACTGGTCGAAAACCAAGGGCGACAAACATATGAAACAATCAACGATTTTAAGGTAAGGAACACTTAGATTACGTATGATTACGCCGTTTATTGGCTGATACGGTATGTTTGTCATACGAAGAGATGTTGTCGGACCTAGCCTTCTGTTATCGAACTGGTGCACTTCTGTGCAGAAAATTTGAAAAAAGGGTGTGGCCTACTCGTATCGATGCCCGAAAAAATTGTACAGGATACTTGGAAAGTCTCTGGCCTGCAGTACTTCCAATCCAATTTTTAACCTTCTTTTGTTTTATTGTGCTCAGCAAACCTAGAAAACATCAACTCAGCACCAAACTTGTTTTTTTTATTGGCTGGGGATACAATACACAAAGTAAGTTTCCAGACCTCTTTCTTCGGCTTTCTACAAGAAGACATTCTCCGCAGAAAAGCTCATAAAACAGTAGAAAAACGTTCCTTTTTAGTTCTCTATATACTTTTGGTTTTGTGAAAGTAAGTTATTTTGATATACCATGTGAAAGAAAAGATCCATTTCCAAAAATTTTTCTGAAGTATCCAGCTTCGAAATCTCTAAAATTCCTTTTTCAATGACTTTACGAGCCTGCAAAATTTCTAAGTGCACAACGGTATT